TTATAATTTTGGTAGCTCAATTTTATCTTTGGGATCCTATTCTATTTAATTTTGTTTAATTTAGTTTTAGTCTAATTTGTCCTACCTTATGATGAGAGTAATAAAAATATATATATATGAAGAGAAAAAAAAACCAAAAAATAATAGTAGAAAAGAAGAGAAAAAGAGAAGAATTTAGAAAAAAATAAAAATAGGAAGAAGAAAAAATTTAAAAAAATAAAAAAAATAAGAATACTAATAGTTTCTTCATCAATAGGAGTTTGGCTATCAAAATCCTTGCCTTCTTTTCTTTTCTTTTCTTTTTTTTTAGTTTTTGGATTTTTTGTATATTGTGGGATCCAACAGCTATGGAATTTGTTGGAGTTTTTTCATACATTTGCACTTACTCCTTCTTTAAGGGCATTCATTATATTAAAGTCTTTTTCTATTATTATTGAAAGTAGAATTGCTATTAATACTTGTACCTTTAGATTATGACTATTAACTTTTTGGAGTAGTGTAAGCTTCCAGTAGTTGTCTATGATACTAGTATAGTTGGTTTTTTTATATTTTCTCTCCTTTATGGTTTGAAGTCAAAGGTGTAGTACTATTAGTTGTATTGTAGTGAAGATGGCAGCTTGTAGTTGTGTAATTCTCTTCATTCAATAAGCGACTTGTATTAGTATTGCTATTGTACTATAGAGTTTCAGTGGCTCTTTCAAGTCTTGTATTGTTGCTAACACCTTAAAAAATTGAGGTGGAAGTTCTAGCCTTCTTATTGTGTTGGTGCCCTTCCAATATTCAACATACTCTAGATGTTGTAATGCACAATATTAGAAGAAGAATAGATGTTTTAGAAGTTGGCATTGGTAGCAGTATCACTAGGTCTATTTTGCTATAATATTAGTTGATTCCTCAATAGTAGCTGTGGTAGTTTTGTGTATTTTTTTTCATCTCTTTGAAATTAATCTTCAAATATGTTGTCTTCATATTGAATTGGTGTAGTTGATTTCATATCCCAGTTTTATTATTGTACAATATAATAGAAGTTTTGTCAGTCATGTAGAAATCTTGTTTGAATATTTCTCAAGTAGAGCTTTTGTCAATGAGTTGGATTACATGAGTTCTTGTGATAATACAACAAAGGATCATTTTTTCCTCTATGTTGTGTTACAATCGCCTTAGGACTAGGAATACTCATACTAAAGTAATCTCAATATTTTCTTAATTAAAAAAAGAGTATCGACTTCCTTGTGTATATTACTAGCATTTTTTTTGCTGTGCCAATCATCTCCTTGACTTAAAAAAAAAAAAAAAAAAAAACACTAGCATTGGTAGACATCTCTTATAAAAAAAATCTCAATCACCTTTGAGTGTTGTTTTCTAATGGAAGAAGGGTTCGAGCAATTAGTGAATGGCTATGGCCAAAAATTATATTAAAGTTATTTTTAATACCTTGATTGTATTATTATTGGTTACTTCATGAACTAAAGTCAATTAAGTATATATTTTTGATCACTTATATAGTAGTACTTAGATGTAGCAATGTTGCTGAAATTCCACTTTGTTCTAAGGTTGGTAGTCTAATAAAGTTATAGGAGAATTATTTATTGGCATTATAGCCTTGGTGATTGTTTCATTTGGATTTGCTTGCACTTAGCTGGCATAAGAGGTCTCACAATATAGATTTAGTAGGATCTAGAGGCACACTAGGTATTAAAGATATCAACCCTAAAAGATGCTTAAAGGTAATTTTGGAAAAAATCATCGTATTAGATTGTGAACATGATGAGGAAGCAAGTTTTGCAAGAATGAAAAGATTTTAAGTGAGCTTAAAGAGTTTTTAGTAAAGATTTGGAAGGTGCAATTGATGTTAAGGACATGAATCTTAAAGACCTAAAAGATCAAAACACTCTTATATCACTTGAAAAGATTAGATAATTATTCAAAGATGGTAATATATTAAATTAGAATGGCTATTGTTGAAGACAAGAAGATAAGCAAGTCTTGAAATAAGATCAAAAACTAAAAAAGCATTGATAAGAATAAAGAAGACTTCACTCTTTTCTCCATATATACTTTCTAACTAAAAACTATGTGGTAATATTTTATAGGACTTCCAACATATGTTGACTTTGCTAGATACAAGACTTAACTTGCAAGGTAAGTTATCTATATGTGTACTACATAGCAAGCTTGTTCTACAAGCTATTAATACATATATCACTTGGCTAAATTTTTGACTAAGTTTCTAGCCTATTAATTAACTACAAACATGTGTGAAGTCAAAGCAGCATCTATGAAGCTTCTAAAAAGCTACTTTAAAAGATATTATTAAATTTATTTGTTTTTTTCTACTTCTACTTAATCATATAGGTAATTATTGAAATAAATATATAAATCTGTGACAATTGGTGGTATTTTAGTCTAAGAGATCATGAAAATTTGCATTGCTAATAGTATTGGAGCAAGCAATAGGAATTAATCACTACAAAATGATTACATTAAGTTTGGCTTTGTAAGTCTTTCAAGTAGATGATTTGAATTGGATGAAAAATAAATTAAGATGAAATTAATTTCAATAAAATGATATTAGGTTAAAGTATAGATGATATTATATTAAATGAATAAATTTGAATTGGATGGCAAATCATAATAGATGAAATTAAGTTAGATGTGAATGATAATTTATAAATGAATGTTACTTAAAATTAGATAAATTTTTATTCATGGATAAAAAATTATTTGTAGATGATAATTTATATTTGAATGATTTTTTTATTACTGGATAATTTTTTCAAAATATTATTAATAATAAAATATAATAAAATATATATATAATAAAATATACTAAAATATATATATAATAAAATATAATAAAATATAATAAATAATTAATTAATTTAAAATTAAAATAAATAATTATTTTTGTATGTATTTTTAATAGAATTATCATTATAGGTATAAAATAATAGTAGAAGTTGGAGTTGATTACTTGGATGTCAGGAATATTAGAAAGTAATTTAATTAGGATTTAAATAAGAATTAAAACTTATAAAAGTTGTATAATTAATTCACTTGTTGTATATTAGAACAAACTTTGAATTAGTGGAGGTTTATTTTAGCTTATGTATTTTTAATTGAATAATAAAAATTTAGATTAAACTATAAAAAAAAGTCAAGGTTATAAAAATCCAATTTATTTAAGGATTATACTTTTCTAATCATAATAATCCTAAAATAACTAGATTAGAGAGAGATCTTATCAAATTAAATATTACTATGTTATTATGATCTTTATTTACTACATCTAAAAGAACAATCTCATGGATAACATCTCCAAATGACAACAAACAACCATCTATGACTTCTACGTGTATAGATTTAGCTTTCTTGTTTAAAGATATTTCTTGTTTTTTGATAAAATCTTTGTCTATAAAACAAGTTGAGGCTCTTGAATCTAATAAAGCAAAGACTTTGTCATTTTTAGGTCTTAAACATACATCTATTGTAAAACAAAATGAGGGATTTGAAGAGAGAAAATGACTTTTACTAGATACATATGATTCCAGCTCCATGGTCTCTATTATAGCTAATTTTTTTTTTTTTTTTGACACATTGTCTTCTCTAGCAATTGTGCTCCTTATTTTGTAATTGTATTATTTCTTTGAATAATATTGAGCAATGTGCTTAGCTTCTTCATATTATAGGCACAAACTCTCTTGACAACATTAAGTCTTTTTTTACTCAATGAAAGTTTTAAAATGTATGATATCAATTTGTATTGATTCTAGCCTTAATAAATAAGTTTTTGTAAACTTAGGAATTTTCATCATTACTTGACTTATTATTTTTCAATCAAAACTTTGTTCTTGACACCTTTCAAATAGTCGATTGTCAGATGCAATGGCTTAAACAATAAATTATTTTAATAATTTTTTTTTACATTATCAATAATAAATCTTTTATATTATTTTTTAATTTGTATAGAAATTTATTGATAAAGACTTTGTCATTCTAGTGGATGTTACAAGCGAGGTTTTGGAATTCAGTAGCATGTAAGGTGGTTGATTGTGATCTTTGTTGTAAAAATAAAAGCTTAATCTTTGCTACTCTTTTTCAATCACTTTTTCCAAATGTGGCCATAAACACTTCCAAAAATGAATTTAAATCATAAAAGAGCCGTAAATCCTTTTCCATCAAAGGTGCAAATCAAATAAGAGTACTTTTAGATACAAGTGTGCTTATAAACTTAAATAAATCCATTAGATTATTGGATAGGGTGCAACTTTAGATAGAACTTGGCTTACTACAAAAATCTTCAAAATTTTGATCTTGTTCCATCAAACTTCTCGAGTATACTAATCCTTGCCTCTCTCATGCTTGTAAAAGCAAAACTTCTTGGATTTTACTATCTACCATGTGTGTCCAATTTGTAAGACACATGTCTTAACTTGCAAGGCAAGTTTCCTATATATCGACCACATTGTTAGCTTGTACCACAAGCTATCAATATATGTGACATATTACTAATTTGTTTCTAACCTACCAATCACCTATAGACATGTATAAAGGTGAAACTTTATTTAGAAAGCTTCTAAAAAACTTCTCTAGAAGATATTCTCAAATTAACGTACTTTTACCTACTTCTACCTATATTTATTATGTAAGTAACTATAGATATATCCATAACAAATTATTGCTTGACATTAATCAAAAACTAATATCTCAGGCCTTCTATTCCGTGCAATGGAGGCACTCGGACTCCCCACTGAGTGCATCGCTCTAACTCAACTGCTGTTTCCAAACGCCACCGCCAACGTCAAAGTTAATGGGGCCCTCGCCTCGACCTTTACCATTGCGAGAGGTGTGCACCAGGGGTGCCCCTTGGTGTCGCACCTCTTCCTTATAGTTGCAAAGGCTTTCAACTCTGTGATCAAACTGAGCGTCACGGCCGGTCGAATCAAAGGAATTAGGCTACCTGAGGGAGATTGGTATTAGGTGATCGCCCAGTGTGCCGATGATACCTTCCTAACTATTGCGGGAAAAGAGGCACAGGCACGGGCTACCATCCAGACATTGGAGGAATTCTGCCTCAAGTCAAAGTTAATAATCAACTGGAGTAAATCTCACGACTATCGGAAAGCTGCTAACATCCCCGATCGTACTCTTTGGACCAATTTTCTTAGTGTGACCTAGGTCGATGGTTATGAAATAAGCAAGCTACTCGAGACACCATTTGGCCGTGCCCTCTTGGCACAAAAAATCTTCTTAAAAGAACAGATCAATATGAAGCTTCAATGCTGGTGTACGGAAAAAATTAACTCCACTGGCCGTAGGGTGATCGCTAACAAGGTGTTCTTATCTTCCACCTTTTTCTTTGCATCCATCTGGGGGTACAAAGGCCAAAATATCCAAGGCGCGAGCCAGTATTGAAAACTTTATGTGGTCCGATTCTCTACATTGGGTTCATAGTAAGGTTGCAATGTTGCTAATCAAAGGAACGGGGGGAGGGGGTTGTGATGACCTTGTCAACCCGATGGGTGCCCTCACGGTTCTCATGTCTAAATGGATTATTAAAGCCTGTAAGCCCAGTTCATCGAATTTACACATACTGATTTAGTTCCAACTCTCGCATTTTCAGCCTTACAGAGGAGGTTGGTGGGCTCCCAGTCTCAAATACTTTACTTCGCCCAAGTTCCAAGCCAAGCGTAGATCTAAGATCTAGAACCAAATTGGGCTAGCATGGCGGTCCTTTGCAAGCGACCTAGTCTCCGTGCTTGGTCGGCAGTATGTCGAACCACCATTTGTGCCGACAAAAAATTCATAAATAAATAAATAACTCTATTTATAATCCCTTGCGAAAAAGTAACAGCCACGCATTCGAAGCAGCTATACCACTATGTTGCGTAGGCCTGGGGTAGAGTGGATGCTGGTCATCGAATGCCGCTTTGAAAGAAATCACAGATGCCGCAGTTACTGCACATGTAGTCCGTTTTACCTTACCGAGAACTTTGAATCGAACACCCGAGACCACATTTTCTCACAATCTTCTTGGCCTTCAAAGCTGTTCCAGTGGATTGTATGTCTAGTTGTGGTCAGCACAAAGAGGTTGGTGGGTATTTTCTTTGGGAGGGAAGAAATTCTTAGGGGCGATGAGGAGGAATATATTTTGGCAAGGACGGCGAGCCCTTGGCGACAAACCTAACAAGATGCTGGGTGAGTCGCTGTGGCAATGGTGGGCGCGCAGGACGGAAGATAGACTTAGTCGTAATCAATTGTGGGACGTGGTGGAGCCTTATCAGCGGCCGAAGCCAATTGCGCCGCTGGCTGTGCTCAACATTGTTGCGTTTTACTCCGGCGTTGTGGCTGCAGCTGTCACGGAGCAGATGCATAAGGTGAGTGTATCGTTGTTCTGTTACCAGAAGTGTAGCCCTAAAATGAAGGTTTTGTTCATTGGTAACCCGGGTTTAAAATGCAATCCTTTGTGCTCTTGACAATTAGGCTACGTTTTTTACGCAGATCGACAGATTCGACTTCAGTGTGTTGCATGCTTTGCTCAAGCTGGTCTCAGTCGGAAGTTTACCTCGAATTTGATTGTATGTGAGGGTTTAGGGTTTAGGTTTTAGCAATCTTTTGTTTTTGTTTTCGCAACATTGAGGCATCAATTCCATTCCACAAACGAGCATGGCGCAGTGTGTGCGTTACTTTCAATCATCGAGATGCCTCGCTCATCCCTGAATGCTTGCGTAGGAACGGTACTGGGCGGAGAACCCAGGGCAGGCCGTGCCCATTATGAAGCCCATGCTTTACTTGGGGCCTTACAAAGTGCGCAGAGAAGATTTCGGTGAAGATGCCTCTGGGCAATAACAAAAAATTATTAACTGTAATTATCTAAGCATCAAGGTGTCGCGGTCTTGGTATGTAGGGAGGGAATGTCTCAGATAATAGCGAGAAAAAGTTCACTGTTGAGAAGATGATCTGACGACGCCTCAGCATGTGGTAGTCATGACATCATACAAGGTGACGCCCTTGCGTGGGTGCAAGATCTACTTTTTCCCAATCTCATGGGTATTGCCAGATGGAGGTTGTGGCAAACGCAGACATCGACCAGGTACCGAGCTCTGAGCTGTGTTTTGGAGGGGGCTCTACTTGACGGAAGAAGATACATGACTCAGCACCGACACCACCGGATCCGACAACTGAGGGACTGCAGGAAGGAGTAATTTCGCCAGTTAGTGAAGACCATTTGCAATACTTAGTCAATAAGGTCACAACCACGGTATTTGCCTGATTGTACTGTTCATCAGAACGATATACGTGAATGGATGAGCTCTTGTTCTGTGATTCGTTCATCGCATGGTTAATCTTCTATATTACCCACTTAGCAATTATTATACGTCACTGCTTCACACATTGTTCTTGAGAGGTAATGCATTATATGTCATCATTGAGATGGTGTAAGTTAACTGGTTTATAGATTACGATATGGGAATACACCATAAGTGATCCATTTCTGGAGGTAGAGCGTCAAAAGTATCAAGTTTCAATGAAGTAGACTAAAGTTGTATGTACACATATGTCTCATGGCGGATGCACTAACCATGTTAGCATTTTTTCCAAAGAATGCAGGGGATGCCCATTTAATGTTAGGGTTGAAGCTACTCGTTCGCAGGGACGTTAACGCATCAACGATAATTGACTACTGGATGCACGCATGATCCCTTGGGTCCTCTATATTTAATGTACTCTCTAATGACAACTTAAGTACACAGTGCTGCTAGAGGGCCCTAATCTTCATTCAAGAACTTGTTCCTTCGAAAGCCACATTTGCATGAGCTGCTTGCCAGATTGGCACTCGTTGATGGCTTTAACAGACTCCTCTCTTAACACAGATTGAATGGAATCAATTGACTGCGTCGCATCCACACTCTGAATCATGCACCTGTCACATTAGTTGTGGTTCAAACCCTGAACACGATCCTAACCCTACGCACACTTGAAATTTCTTCTGCAGGACGTCAGATAGCTTACCTGCCAGGTTGTGTCTTTCAGGGACTTGAATACTTTTTCAACTTTCTTCTGAATCTCGAGCTTTTCATATCTCTCGCCACCGTAACCTCCTCTTGCTGCAGCTACCTGAAAATTGAGCGACCATTACAACTCTTACATCAGACAACGACACACCGACGAGAGTAAAGCATTGCTAAGTAATCTCAATGTCGACACCTAGTCACTAAGTTGATACCTTTCTCACAGCTGAGTGCAAGCCATAACATCATCCGGTTCAGATGCAGCACATATTTTGGATGATTATTTCAACATAAAGGCCGACAGAGTGATTCACCGAATCAATTAGTAGCGATTTCCCAGAGTAAAGCGAAATTCATGCAGGTCATTTCCAGGGGTTTGTTGGTAAAGAGCACCTCGGCAGAAATATCGAGATAAAAGACAAGATCTGGAGCCGGAAGCCCTGCCTCTGGTCCCTGTCAAATTGGATTTCAAGTAAGACTTCATTCGAAACCAATCCACGAATGCAATTATCATGACAGAATGATGGATCAAAAGTATTTGCTACCCAAAACATTGCATAAAATGTGAATGGTCCATCAGAACCCTCTGATAGTCGCAAGAGGGTCATTCCAAAAAGATAAAGATTACCTTGCACCAATCTAAGTCGAGACCTTTAGCAACGGAGAATGCAACACCCGAGTAAGAGTACCGATCAATCACCAATGTAGTTCCCGCCTTCAGCTTGGACTCCATTAATGAGCTGCCACCGTTCTCTATTTCAGTATGAAATGAACATACAATATTCAACTCTCACAGGCTTGTCAGCATCTGTAGCAACTCATCACTCCAGTCTGACCTCAAAATTGCATTTTTCGGCATCATCAGGTGTGAGGGTAACAGAAAATTTCTACCAAGGCAAACCCCGATTCCCCAGGGAAAGTTTCCAAAACCTCAAAAAACCTAAATCCGGCCACCTCCCGCGAAACCATAATTCAAATTCAAATCCGATCACAAAGGAATAGGCAGTCATTTGCCTATTTCCAAAGTGCACGTTAGAAGACAACAGCAATACGCTATTGGGGGAGGAGTGCAGTACCATTTCTCCCAGCGATTGGCAGAAAACAGGAGATGGATGGCGGCAGCGTCAAGGTCGGTCTGGCAGGACAAGTAAGACGAGATCATTCGACCCATGGCGGTCGTGCGATCGGGGAACCTCCAGGCCTCCACGGCCACGCCCTGGGATTCCAAGTAGGACGCGAGCTGCGCACATTGGGAGCTCTTCCCACTGCGATCAAGCCCTTCCAACACAATCAACGCTCCGCGGCCAGTGTTCTCCCCGCTGCTGCTAGGGTTGATGGCGGCCATGGCTGGACGGAACCCCATGCTCCTCTCCCTCAGCCTCACAGTGGCTCTGCCTACTCCCAGCGCGGAGCTTCCCAATCGAATCGGCAGCGACAACACCATCGAGGAGGAGGACAATGTCGCCGACGCCCAACGCTCATTGTAACACCCCAACAACGTCACCCACGAAGACGATGGCGGGAATTCGAGTCTGGGCCGGGTGAGGGGCCGACATTACGGGTCACCCTGCGCACAGCTATGGGGCTTCTCGGACATGGGTCCAACACCTACCGAAGTCTTCATCCCTTGAAGATCCATTCTTTTTGCAATTGTATTCAAGATAAATTAGTATATAGGTTTTTATGATGTCTATGCTTATTTATTCATTTTTTTATTGATAAATTATCTTAATAAAATTTATCATTATATATATATTTAAAAATAATAATAATATAATTAATAATTATTTTTATTTATTTGGATTTGAAAAAAAATGAGATGAGTTTTGTAGATATTAATTTGTTTTTTTAATAGCATTTATATGATTAAACAAGATAATTTTTTTCTAACAATACACAAGTACTTTTAGAAAGCTTAATTTTTAGCTGAATTAAATATGTATATGTTGATTATTACTGAAGAGATCAAAGAGTGATAGTCTTACAATTGTAATATCAACATTTGTAAACTATTTGTGACAAATAAATAACAAGTTAGTTATTTGTACTTTAAATATATGAATATAGGGGAATGTTAAATAGACCTAGACTTTTGCTAAAATTGACCCACCTAAGCTAACCATCATGAAAAAAAAATGACATTGAGATCATTTATCCACTATTGAGATTATTACAAAATCAATAAAAATCAACCACATTCATCATGATTATCATATTCTTCATCATGGATAGGTTGATTTAGTAAAAATTTGGGTCTATTTAACATTCCTGTATAGGGTATTGCTAATGTCACTATAGTATTTGCTATTGGCTCCACAACTCCCATCCACCACATTTCACCTTTGTTCAATACCTCATCCACTAAATTCCATCTTTGTTCAATATCTTTCAAACCATTTTATTAAACAGAATCTTTTATTGGAATAAAAAACTTAGAAAAAATATAGGAAATGGGAATCATATTGTGGTGGCATTAACAATAAGTTACACGCACATACCTAACATCTTCATTTACAAATGTCCATATGCAATAAAGTCAATCTACACATTAACAAGAATGGCTACCAAATCGTTTTTCTGCAGTACAAAACCTGAATCAAACAACACATGAGAAGGAGTAGTCATTTACCGTTGTTGAGTGCCAAGCATTCCTTCCAGTATTTTGAGACACCATGAGATGACAAGGTTCCGAAACCTTTTCACAAAGGTTCAACACTCACAAACACCAAAACTCACACTTCTCCAACACACCCCACGAGCTCCGCAAATTCCGCCTCTTTCCTGAATAACCGGAGCATCAAAACTCGCACCATTACCAGCAGCATAGAAACCTGAAGGAAAAAGATGAATAAAAATACCGTAAAAAAGTGCAAAAGTAACGAGTTGTGGAGAAACTCACGAAACAGGACGCGCGTATGTTTGTGGGTTCACATAGAACTGTTTTTTATGTTTTATGTTTTTTGTTTTTCACAGCAGAGGATGGTGAGAATTCGGGGTTGCTTGAATTTCATATCATCGCATCCTCGGGACGCAGTTCCAGTGGCGTCGTGATCCGGCAATACCCGAGATATCGATGAACACAAGCCATCGATCATCGGGGTCCGCAGCTTTGTTCCGCCACAAGATCCGCGAAAGCTGTAGACAAAAACGGAGTCCCCCGTAAGGTTTGTGCGTTTAAAGTAAAAATCCGCGGTTAGACGAGTGAGCTCCGTCGGCCGTCATGAACAAGTCTGCTGGTACGATTCACCGAAGACTTCTAGAACCAGGAACCAAAGGATATGCCGCATCCGGGTACGATGGATTAGGTAGTCGTATATGGAAAGTGGAGTTGCGGAGCGCTACAGTTAAGTGGTGATTGTCGACAAATAAAAGCGGGCACCAGACCTCCGATGTCCTAAGTTGAGATCTTGTGGACACATCGCGGATCCGTCGTGTATCTGTTCACCTGGTCTAGGTCACCTGCCCGATCGTCGCCACTACGTCAGCTTTTGCGATTGAGGTGTCATCACTCCTCGTTTACTGCTGGAATCCTTGAACATGATTCAACAGGGCCGATTTAGCTTGTGGATTGTTTGAGAAGGTATTCGGTCCCTGACAGATGTAGCGGAAGCGCACGTCATGAGAAACATCCTTCCCGCATGGTCTCTACTTCTCACTCCTTTACGCCTTTCCCCTCTGAACATTACGCGACTCCATCCTTCTGATCCTTCTCACCCGTCTGATAACAGCTGCAGAATGTGTTTTCTACGTCACCGGATTGGTTCTAAAACGGACCGCAGTCTCTTTCGACCTACCACTCATCTGCTCTATCTAAGTCTAGCTCGTTTGGATCACTCTCGGAGTACTTTCTTGTGTGATCCTCGTGCTACTTCAGCTTGACCGCATTTGAAGGTGAATTTGTTTCTGCTTGATGTTGTGTTTCTATGAAGCTGACGATTCAGTTCGCTCTGAGCCCCCTCTAGTAGCTATTAGGTAGTACGGTTGCGTTTCACTGTGAAGAAATAGAACCTCGCCAAACCGTTGCAAAATTGAAAGCTCAATGATTGCTCCTTTATGTTTCTGTTTTACTAGGCGTTTTGCTTCTCTTCTACAGAAATATCCAGTTGATGGCAAAAATCAAGTGGTGCGAGTGTTGGCGCCCGGCCAAGACTCCAAACTCGAGTCCAACGTTCGCCACCCCTATCAAGACTGTGGTTATATTGTGCATGGAAAATCGGTCATTCGACCACATGCTGGGGTTTATGAAGCGCATTCAACCAAAGATTGATGGTCTCACCGGCACTGAAACCAATCCATTGTCTCTGACGGACGCCAATGCTGGCGTGGTCCAAGTTTCGGACCAAGCCCCCTACATTGACCCCGCCGACCCTGGCCACTCTTTCCAAGACATAACTCTACAAATCTTCGGCTCTCAAACCGAGACCACCGCGAATCCCCCTCCCATGAATGGATTTGCTGCGCAGGCCGAGACAGAAAAAGAAGGGCTGTCGAAAACAGTAATGGGCGGGTTTTCGCCGGACGATGTGCCCATCTTCAAGACTCTAGTCCAAGAATTTGCTGTGGTAGATCGGTGGTTTGCGTCGGTGCCTTCGAGTACGCAACCGAATCGGCAGTATCTTCACTCCGCCACTTCTCACGGCCTGATGAGCAATAATCAACAGCTCCTATTAGCGGGATTGCCTCAAAAGACCATCTTTGAATCCGTTGAAGAATGCGGGCTCTCCTTCGGGATTTACTACCAACAAGTGCCAAACACCCTGTTCTACAGAAACCTTCGAAAGTTGAAGTATGTCGACAATTTCCGCCCCTATGACTTGACTTTCAGAGATCATGCCAAGAAGGGGACACTTCCGAATTACACAGTAATTGAGCCCAGATATTTTGATTTGCCTGGATTCCCAGCAAATGATGATCACCCCGTTCATGATGTGGCACAGGGGCAGGCTCTCATTAAGGAGGTCTATGAAGCGTTACGGGGAAGCCCGCAGTGGAACGAGATTCTTTTCCTAATCACGTATGATGAGCATGGTGGGTTTTACGATCATGTGCCCACGCCTATTGGCGTTCCCAGTCCGGATGGATTGGTGGGCTCGGCGTCGCCCTATTCTTTCGACTTCACTAGACTTGGGGTTAGGGTGCCGACTCTCTTGATTTCTCCCTGGATCCAAGCGGGCGCTGGTATAGCCTCAATGTCTTAATCCCTTCCCAAAAGCAGACAAATTCTAATCCTACATACCTTTTGGTTTTGTGAATTTTGAAATACTATTTGTGATGATTAAGGAACTTGCTCTAAAGCACGACATGATTGATCAATTCCAGTGTTGCACAAACCAAAAGGACCTAAACCAACCTCCGAATTCGAGCATTCATCGATACCTGCGACGGTGAAGAAGCTCTTCAATTTGCCGGGATCATTTCTGACCAAGCGGGACGAATGGGCCGGCACATTCGAGACAGTTCTCACGCGAAAGACTCCCCGAACTGACTGTCCAGGTACACGAATTACTACTGTTTTTCACAATGAGATGTCAGTGGTCACCATAGGCTACGTTATGCTAGTTTACAGGTATAGTTTAGTAGTTCAAACTAGTATAACGTAGGATTCTTACTCCAAAATCTCATGATAATACTTCGATGATGATCAGTAAAACTCCCCGCACCTCCAACAACACTGCGGACTCGGAGCGCGCCGATGAACAACATAAGCGCACTCTCGGAGTTTCAGGAAGAGTTAGTGTGGCTCTCGTGTTCGATCACTGGGAAAGCCGAGGTGCCCGAGTACACCACCATCGCGGACGCGGCGGAGTTCGTAACTAGCGCCGTCGCGACGTTTGTCGACGCCGCCGCGGCGGCCAAGGCAGCGGGGGTAGATCCCGACCGCATTTTCAAGCCATGAGCAGTCCAGATTTAACAAACACCACACCAGTTTTTGCCCGATCCTTTCGTCGTTTGGGTGATGGAGCCGCAATGTCTAGCTCCATCCAAGCGACTGAGGGCGACGCGCGTGGCGACTCCCAGTGAAGCTCGCGGCCGACTCGACCACAATTGAAGCATTCTTTCAAGGAAATAGACACAAAATGAATGAATAAAAAAAAAATAAATAAATAAAAAACAGAAGGAATCACCTCTTTAGTTAAATCTGGACTGCTCATGGAAAAACAGTTTATTTTATTTTATTGGGTTCTTCTTATTTGAAGAAAGAGAAGTTTGTGGCATTTAGATTGATTTTGATGTATCTTCCATGTCTTGACAATAAATGTGATGAAACAGGTCTGTATACATTTGAGGTACTTCCATGCATATGAATACGTATGTTTTTGTAATTTCTTTTTATTTTTCTTTTCTGTTAATAGTAATAATACTGATTACATGATAGACAGCTAATTTATTTTTAGGTAAATTGAAGATGTTGTATTGAAGTCTTATAGCTTTAGAAACTTTTTTGCACACTAATTCAGAAAATAACTATGTCTTGATGTTTTGCAGTTATACAAACAAACTAAATTATGAATAATCCAAATTCTTTACTATGAAATTAGTAAAAATAATATCAACATGTTTTATTTAATAATAATAATAAATTAAATTAAATATTAATCTAAAAAAATCTTATATAATAATATTATAAGATTCTTTATTAAATTTGAATTAAATGTATATATGAATTGAATGTATCTTTTATATAGAATAACTTGGATATAAAATAAAGAAACATTTTGATTAGCTGTGAAGAAGGGAATTTAGAGAATTGGAAGAACATGGCAACACTTAAATGCAAATTGGTTGGAATTGTAAGGATTTCTAAAAACTAAGTAGTTGGAATACTAAAGCTTTATAATAATAGTTTTTTATCTAAGAACTTTTTTTTGCATAAGGTGCATTCTTCCTCCTCCTCCTCCTCCTCTTCATTTCTATCCAAGTGTTTTATCTTTTTGCCAAGAAGATTCTTCACTTTGCTATGTGATAGAACCAAGTTTTATAGACACTTCTCAACATCTTCTGACTATGCTATTAAGGAAAAAGATCACCTACTTAATCAATATTCTAAAATTGTTAATTTTATTGTTTAGAAATACATTATGATGTATTAAGAAGTTATCTTTGCTCAATATGTCCAATATCCTTCCACTTTATATTTTTAGTTCAAAACATACAAAAACACATGCACACAAAATATAATTTTTGGAATGCCTCTAAGGTCTTGCCCTTAGAATCATGTTTATTGCAAACCAAGTAGCTATACTCCTGATCAAATCATAGGAATATTGGAATTATTAGTAAATTAAAGTTAGTAAGTAGAAATGGCTCAAATAAGAGGCTTGAGGAAGGAAAGACAACAATCAAAGCAAAGAAGACCACAATCACAATTGACAAAGAAAAGGTCACAATCTAGGAAGAGAAGAACATAATTGGAAAAAACTAAGATATATCAAGAATTGATTAGGAGATTATCACCAAAAACCTAAAAGTATTTTATCTAATGTCAAGATCATTGTTTGATGACATTTGTATACAAGAATATTAAACACTAATAGAAAGATATTTTCTTCCAATTATTCTATAAGCTTTTTTATAATGTCTTCTTTCAATAATGCATTAAGTCTATCTCCAATTTGTGAACCATCATGTGTATCCAACTTTTCTTTATTTTTTTCTTCATCTTCCTTATGAATTGGAATATAATAATTAATCTTATAAAATATATAATAACTTATTCTTTTCATTTCCTCCTTAGTCCCTCAAGTGATAGAATGCAAAGACTCTTGATAAATACATTGTAATTTACTTCTTCTATAATATCCAAGGCCTTCAATCAATTAAAGATGGATACAATTTCCAAATCAAGGCTGAAATTATTCCAAGGTCCTAAAGAAATTGAAATCTCTTAATCAATATTACTTATGCTTTTTTTAATTTGTCTTTGGCTAATAGAATTGATAGAGTATATTATGCTTTATAATAGTATATCATATATTGGTTGCATGACACTTTTGGAGATGGCAAAGCCGATTGATTTTTTTTTTTTTTTTTTTTTTTTTTTTTTTGGGACTAAGAAAGTTTACAAAATTCTTATCATACAGTAGTTGAATGGATTTATCTTTGAGTATTTGTGGTAAAGAAATTTATTCATCCTAACCATAGTTGATGCCATAATCAATATGTAATCCATTAGAAATAATTACACTCAAAACAAACATAGAATTACATTGTAGTGCATTTAAAGTAAGTTGTCTACTATCATTTGAAAAAAAAATCTTCTATTCTAGGAAAGTTTTGGATTTCATATGGTATTCGATAACAATAGATAAATTTTGAATTTCTAAGTATTTCCAAATTCTCATTTCTTATTTTTTGGTCTTATATCTTTTTGTTTTAAAGATTGTAGAACTTGCACCATAAGATTGTCTTTTCTAATTATGCTACTATATTAATAAGTTTCTCAATTTTCATATACAAGGTATACCAATTATTGTATATTTATATAATATAATTATAACTATTTTCAGACGTAATTATAAATACAACTATTAGACGACAAATACTTGTATAATAGAATTATGCAATGTGTGTGTGTATATATATATATATATATATATATATATATATTCTCTTTCTATAAATTTTGATTGTATGATTTGCATTACATTGATCAATTCTTTGATGATCCTTAGAATTACACTATCTAAATCTATTTTAGTGATTAATATGTAATTCCTATAGAATTTTGTTATTTAAATTATTCTTATATTAATATTTTTATTCAATATTTAAAATAATGTTTTACAATCAACATGAAAAAAATTCAATTTTTTGAATTTTTTTTGAAAATAACAACCTTACAATTACTATTTTATAAAATTGATTACATGTAATTATTAATCTCTTGCAAACTAATAATTTTTTTGAGAGAATTTCTTTATATTTTTGAAATGTAATCTTGAGCCAATTGTTAATATATATTTTAAATAATTATTTATAAATTATTTAAATTTTATTTTAAAAGAAATATAAATTTATATTTTAAAATATAATTTTCATTAGTTTTTGATGTCTATGGACTTATTCTCACCTTGTTGTAGTTGTCCACGAGATACTTATAGTATTTGATCAATTTTGCTAAGATCTTACTTAATACATTTGACAGTCAAATCACTCTAATTTTGTTTGTATCTTTGATTATGTTCTTCACTATCTACAACTTAAACAATGTAGTATAGGAGTTGGATATGTGTCACAGACATATATTTATTGTAATTGTTACATAAGTGATATGCATAGGTAGAAGTAGGTAAAATTAGATTAATTTCATAATATCTTCTAGAAGAGCTTCCTAGAAGCTTCATAGACGCTTTTTTGACTTTACATGTATTTATACTTGATTGATAGGTTAGAAACTTGGTCAACAAGTTAACCATGTGCCACATATGTTGGTAGCTTGCGGAACAAGCAAACTATATGGCCTCTACATAGAAAACTTGCCTTGCAAGTTAAGATATGTGTTATGTAAAGTCAACACATTTTTGGAGGTCCTATAGAACGTTTCTACGTAGCTCCTAGATAGATAGTGTATATAGAAGCAAGAGTGAAGACTTCTTCACTCTTATCAACTCCTTTCTTGTTTTTAGTTTAGTTTTAAGAGTCTCTAGTTTTCTTGTCTTTTGGCAATAGCCATTCTAATTTCTTTTTTAATTTACATATTTGGTTATTTCTATTTTATCATCTTTCTTTGAAAAAAGTCTCACTTCTTTATTTATTTTTATCAAGTTCTTGTTCTCAACAAATTGACAAGAATGCACTTAGAATATGAAAGTTTTGTCTAATCTTAATTGAGAATGGATTATTGCTTTCTCTTGATAAGACATAAGCCTATTGAAAGCTGTGGATTATCCTCTTCTAAACTGATATTGTTCTTAGTATTTTCTTTTTTTTTAAGTTCTCTCTTCTATTTGTCTTGAGCGATATTATACATCTTCTCTTTTCCAAGTCTTATTATGGCAAAACTTGTTGAAATGAAGAGTGGAATGGTACAAATGCAAGAACAATTGAAGAAGTTAATACTTGCGATACATCATCTCAATTTACCACCATAAGGAGCAACAAGATTGGCAGGAAGTGAAAATATAGAAATGATTGGAGCTACTTCAACATCTGTACCAAATCATATCTCTTTTCCTATGGTGGAACAGTCTTCCACTGTTAGAGAACCAATAATTGCCATACTTGAGAAGTTTGATGGTACTAAATCAAAATTTAGACGATTTATCAAACAAATACAATTTGTGATTGAACTTCAATTCCAAATTTATCTAATTCCAAGATCACAAGTTAGGTTCATTGATACGCTTCTTTTAGGTTTTGTATTATCATGGTTTTCATCTTTTCTTGAGAGAGAAGATCCAATATTAGACAATTTGGAGGCTTTTATGGCTGAGTTTTGATCCATGTATAAAAAACATGATGTAATTCGTGTTGCAACCAACAAGATTCCTACTTTGCGACAAGACAATTGATTAGTAATGTTGTATGCTTCATATTTTTGACAACTTGTAACTGATACCAAGTAAGATGATGCTGCACTTATTAGCCAATTTCTCTATGGATTATAATATGAGGTAGAAAAATTAATGCTCAACTTACTTGATCCTCAAATATTGAGTTAAGCAATTGACTTTACTGTGAAGTGCAATAATTATCTTTTTGAATTTTGATATGAGAACCGTACAAGTGGACCTCAACGTTACTATAATTCGATGGCAATACCAACTTCTTTTTAATACATACATTCAAAAGTAGAGGATATGTAAATTGATGTGATACATTTCAAACCTCTTACTAAGCAAGAAAAGACTCGTCATTGTCAAGAAGGATTGTGCTTATATTATAGACAACCTAAGCACACTGCTCAACATTGTCCAAAGAAGTGACACAACCATAAAATGAAGAGTACGGCTATCAAAGAAGATAGTATGTCAAAAAATGAGGTTCTCCAACTACAATAGGTACCTTGCGGTTAGAACCTTGTACAACACCTAGTAAATGTCCTATTCTCTCTTTAGAACCGTCTCCTTGTTTTATGATAAATCTTATTTTAGGACCTACACATCACAAAGCCTTTGCTTTGTTAGATTCAAGAGCCTTAGCATGTTTCTTAGATGAAAATTTTTTTAAAAGATATAGCATACTTTTAGTGAAGAAAACTAAACCTATTCATGTAGAAATCATAGATGGTCATCCATTGTCTTCAGGAGATATTACTCATGAAACCCTTCCTATAAAAGTAGCAACTAAT